ATGAATGGATGAATGAATGGGTGGATAGTTGGATGAATGGATGGATGAATGAATAGATGAATTAATGGATGGATGAATGAGTCGATGGTTGGATAAATGGATGGAGGCATGGATAGACGGATGGATGGATGGATGGATAGTTGGATGAGTGGATGAATGAATGGGTGGATAGTTGGATGAATGGATGGATGGATAATGAATGGATGAATGGAAGGATTGATAGATGGATGGATGAATGGATGAATGAATAGGTGAATGGATGGATGGATGAATGGGTCGATGGTTGGATAAATGGAAGGAGGGATGGATAGATGGATGGATGGATGGATAGTTGGATGAATGAATGGGTGGATAGTTGGATGAATGGATGGATGGATAATGAATGGATGAATGGAAGGACTGACAGACGAATGGATGGATGGATGGATGGATGGGTAGATGGATGAATGGATGGACAAATAGATGGATGGAGGGATGGATAGATGGATTTTTGGATGAATGAATGGGTGGATAGTTGGATGAATGGATGGATGGATAATGAATGGATGAATGGATGAATGGAAGGACTGACAGACGAATGGATGGATGGGTAGATGGATGAACGGATGGATGAATGGATGGACAAATAGATGGATGGAGGGATGGATAGAAGCTCTCATGACATGATGCTTGCTATTTTTTATATTTATGATATAAATACTGATTAAATACAGATTAATTAGAGGAAAGCCTGTTTGTTGAGCTTCAGCAGCCGTTTGGTTTCTCTGACTCTGCGTTCCACAGACGTCCCACATCGTGTGAGCAGCTCTGTCGCAGCTCGAYGGGAGGCCAAGTGACAGATGGAGTAAATTAGAGCGCAGGCACAGATGAAGAAGGGAGATGTTAAAGAAAGCAGAGAGCTGTATGTAGAGCAAAAATAAATAAATAAATAAATAAATAAATAAATAAATAAATAAAATAAAACAAATAATCCAAGTAATTAAATTTGTGAATTCTGCTATGCTATGAGCTAATTCCCTTTAAGTTTTAGCAGGTAACACTTAAACGAGTCTAAATTGAAACTGGGCAGTAGTGGRGAGAAGCTGATTGCTTCTTCTAATTGAGACACCTCAGTTATTTCTATAAGAGGTGATCACTGGCTGCAAATATCAAAACCTTTCCAAAAACATGCTTTATGTATGAATGTCAGCCATTTTTTCATCCCTTTTTATTCTGCAGCAGTGATTGCATAAATGTCCACTCAGGGTCTGGACATGAGCCATCAGAGAACACAGCTCTGGCTGAGTAGTTTCTGAAACCCGTGGGTATTTTTAGCCAATTTTCCCATCTGCAGAAACCTCGATGCAGATTGAGGAGTTCAGAGGCTGCTGGTCAATCAGGAAGTGATCACTCTGAAACTGCCCCTTTTTAAAACATACCATCAAACTTTGCGTCCATGTGGCCTCACACAGCCACACATTTTCACCAATAGGATGTAAGTCAGTCAGAGGAATAAAACGGTAACTTTCTGCAGAGATAAATATAAAAATTGTAGGGATGAAAATGAGAAAAGACAGAAGCAAAAAGAAATTTACATAAAAAACCTCACATTAGCATTTCCCTCAGGCTGCATCATGTCTGATTCAAAATGACTGCTGCAGAATAAGAACATTTAAATAGGACAACCATACACCGATAAGAACATCGGAGTGTCTAAAAACACTTCAGAACACTGCAGGGGCTGGGGATCGGACCCCTGACCACCCTACCTTTAACTCACACCATCCAGAGTTTAGAAAGTAATTAATTTAGATATAAATTTTTATTTTCTTTACCCCATATCAAGTGCTAAAATATAACAAACATTCAAAAAAGCTGCACTGATCTCAGTCTGTTTCACTCTATTCCACGTTTGCTTTAACTTCCAGCCTTTTCTTGTGACGAGGTGACTCTAAAGCAGCAAAAACAAACACGAGTGTCTTTGAAAAGCCGCATCCAGCTGTTCCTTTTGTTCATCGTCCTTATAATAAATTAAATATGAGTCAGGTTCAGAAAACGTAAACATAAATGTTTCAAAGTTTTTCTACTCATATAGAGTCCTCCTACTGTTGCATAAATAAACGCAGTGTTTATGTGCATCTTATGTATATTTTACAGTCACAATTTCCATTTTTGTACGAGTTGCTGAAAGAGGTGGTTCAAGTTGCTGCCTCCAAAACTGACTCTATGGATGGATGGATGGATGGATGGATGAATGGGGAGGCAGATAGATAATGGATGGAGAAATTGATGATAAATAGATGGATGGATGGATGGATGGATGGATGGACACATGGATGAATGGATGGATGGATGGATAAATTGACAAATAAGAGGATGGATGGATGGATGGATGGATGGGTGGATGGATGGAAGGATGGATGGATGGGTGGATGGATGGATAAATTGACAAATAAGAAGATGGATGGATGGATGGATGGG